TCACTATAAAATTCTCGTCTGTCGGCATTAGGAAAAAGCCATCCTTAATACTAGTCTCAGAGAGCAGAAGAAGTCCGTTCTATGTGAGTAGCCGCAGCATCGATTGGTCCTGTATCGGTGGCACTTGTAACGGGACGTGAAGTTGGCGCTGCTTATCCCAGTTTTCACGAATTAGTTTTTTTTTCTGCGTTCTTGTTCCCTAATTTTTAAGGCCTCGTATCGATTTTTCTACTCGGCAGCTGAAGCATCTAAGGGCGCAGTAATGCCGATACCTGCTTGTAAATTCGAGCAGTTACTGGTTCATCACTGATTCGCATTCGGAATGCTCTCTGTTGGTGTAGCTGCTTAATTATCATTAAAATGTGGCCCAGATTGCTGTGATGTTGTTACTGCTTCACTGGCTGAAGAAAAAAAGAAAGAACAGTTCAGGAAATCAGTCTTGTTAAAAATGCAGCGATATTGTGCTCCGATAAACTGATGTCTTATTCACACACGTAATTTTCCAAATAAATGAAAAGGGAGTACCGGTGGTGTGTTTTGAAAATGCGAAAAAAAAGTAGTTTTGAGGCGAACGACACGTCATGAGTGCAAACTTATGGGGTTGGTTAGCCAGTAATGAGTGTCGGGTTCGGAGTGCTGTAAATATCAGGCCACAAATATCCGGTTCCTGACTTCTGCCAGTGAATCGTTTAGGGAAAATAGAATGAATTGTCGGGTGCAGTGGGTAGTTTGTTGGGTAAGGAGGTTTTCTCAAATTGACAGCGAGCGTGGGTGCAGTTAATCTGTTCGTGAATGCATGCCGGCGTTTCGTACATCGAGTGGAATGTCTGTAAGGCTTTCCCCGGATAAATCCAGATTTCAGAAATTCAACCAGTATCGGGACGGAAACGTTTCTTGTCGTAGGAAGAGGAAGTCTTAGGTGGTGTGGGAGGATCTAAATCTTTGTTTCCACAAATTTTATGTGCTTTTCAGTACCGCCAAAACTCGGATTGCGATGGCAACTTCAGACAAGGTAGTTTTTGCTTGCTTTTTCCCCGTGATCTCTTCTGTTCTTTGTAGCATTGTTGATTGGAATTTTTGATAAAAATTTATTGGAGCAATGGGGGG